AGGGAAAGAATGGTACAACTCATGAAAACACCATTTACAAACAATAGACATGGCACAGCCTTGGCCTGCTAGGAGCCACTCTCCTGGCACGGGACACAGACTGAACACAGGCTTGATTTGGAAGACCATAACGTTATCAGTCTGGATGAAGCAGTAATTTGGATTTAGCTATCAGATAATTTTTTGCCTATGCCAGTCTTAAACTGGGACTATTTTTATCAAAACTAGAGACACATGCAGGCTTTGCAGGAACATTCTTTATGCTATTTATACTATAAAGACACATACACTGTAAAGTCTATGAAAACACAAGGTATTTATCCAGTCTTATGTTTATTGGCTAAAACATTACTCCTGCCACTTCTTTTGGAAACATATTTTATAGTATACTGCAGCTCAGGCTAGAAGGCTTTATGGCTTACATTTTCCTTTCGCTTAAAATCATTTACATTTGTCTGCACCCTAGTAAGCTTCCTATGCTCTTTGAGCCCTTTCTCTTAGGGCTTTTCTTCACTGAAGGAGCATTTTACCTTAAAGCACAGTCTTAACTGTTATATAATACTATACTGACTACATCATTTGAGTTGGTATACTCAGCTAAATTGGTCTCATCATCATGTCAGCTGGGTTTTGGCCTACATTTATTTTATGTGAAAGAAAACCTCAGTCGGTTTGGAAGAGTGGAAATAAGGCAATAATAAAAAGAGGCCTCTCCATTAAGTTAAACAGCTATAGCTCTGTGAACATTAATTAGCAATTCTACCGCTCAAGGGAAATCCTAACTGCTGGACAGGCAAGGCTTCCCAAGCAAGCTGCTTTTTATAATCTGACTTAAAAACATGACGTTGGACTGTGCTAGTTTTGCTGTCAGACACTCATCCTCTATTCTATTTTTGATCTTTTTGAAAAATCAAAACTTCAAGTGGGAAAATCAGAGAAAGAGACCTATATATTTTACAGCAGTTATACCAAAGACACAGAACTTTCTCTGAGAAGGAGTATCAATCTCTAAAGAACAAATTGAGATTTCTTCTGGTACGCAAGGCTAACTGTCATTCTTTTGCTTTCGTTTTTAAATAACAATGCTGTCTGGTTTACAAGCCAACACTAAATTTGAGAAAGCAATATAAAAATCGAGCAAGACAAAGAGGACTTAATTTTCAGTATGGCAGTCACCGCGAAACATCAATCATTTCAGTAGCGCAGCTTTAAAGAACACAAGTCATGCCAGGTCCATTTTTGTCTAAGGGAATGTACGCAGTTGGCTTCAGGTCAAATAAAAATAGAATCTGAGCAGAGGCAATCACCCATCAACAGTGAAGTAGGGGAAGAGGGAATATGTAATTTGTGGCAGAAGACAGCTGTATCACTCAAAAAAGATTGAAACTGACAGTAAAATGTACAGAAACTATATTCTGCTTATTTATCTTTGATTAGACACAATCTTAAAAGCCCACACATTAAAGATTTTGACATCTATTTTGATATATATAGTGGATATACTGTGTAACTTAAGTTTCACCTGTAAAATAGTACCAATAGAACAATTTTTCAGAAGTCCTGTATTTTACCAAATGTGAATAAAGCAGACAACAACCAGAGGAAAATCTACTTTCAGGATATATGTTTCTTGATTTCTGAGCAATCAAGCTTATACAGATCCTGATTATGTGAGATACTTATTAATTACATAACATTATGCAGATGGAATTTGGCAACCAGAAGATATAAACCAGACTTGCATTAAGTAAACGTATGAGGTATTGAAAGAAGTTCTTACTGTAGACATGAGCATCCAATTTCCTCTTACATAGAAGCTGGGTTTCTCAATGAACTTTATGCTCTCAAGAAGGAAGAAAAAGGCTCACCTTCATCTTGTCAGAAAAATAGAGAAGCTAACATACAGAGGTTCATATAGAGCCCGCAATTGTCATTAAGCTCCCAATCTATCATACAAATAGTCTTGATTCCTTCCTTGAAAAGTTTCCTGAATATAACAAAGGAACTATACAGAAAACTTTAATCAAGCAAAATTTTCACTATGTTTCATTCAAGATTTTGTAACTGCTGTTTTTACTTTACTCCATTTCCTAACAATAAATGAAAGTCTCCATTCTTGTAACTAACCACCATTCTTGCAGCCACCCGCCTGCAGGATCACTACGCTAACTCCGACGACTATCAGTACCGTCACTATCGGGACGGTGTGCAGAGAACAGTGGAATACCCAGGTACAGTATGACAGCCACTGCCATATTAAACAGCCAAAATCACTTCACCTTTAACATAACTATGATGTGTGTTATTGTTCTTGCATATTTATATTACGGGAAAAACAAAGACCTTAAATGCATCTGGGAAACGTAAGAATACAGACAATGACAATGTCACTGCAGAATTCATCAACGAAAAGACAAAAGAAAAGACAAAAGAATAGAGATAAACGTAGCACACGCACGTAAATGAGGGTGATGATCCGTGTAACTTTAGAAAAGATTTTGATAAAGGCTTAGATTTTGAAAGTACTCCAAAAATTCAAATGCTGCTCTGAATGATCAGAAAAAAAATTGCTCTGAAAGTTTTTCAAAGTAATTTTCTTTTATACTTCCAGCATTCTTATTTTCACTCAGAGAATCCAGAAATACTACAGCAATACCCCCTTTTGTAAGTAAGCCTTTCTTCTTACACGCCTATTCAGCTATGCAAAACTGTGCAAAAACAAAAAAAGTATTGTTTTGATTCAAAAGAAATGTCTCCAGAATCTCTGCTTACAGGCACTATTAAGGTTATTTTCCCAAAAAGCAGGGAAAAGATTGCTCATAAACAATTAGAAATTGAAGCACTGATCTATCTGACCTGGTATCTAAAACCAATTAGAAATACTAATCACATATTACACCATCACTGCATGAGTCCCACAGGTTTAAAGGGAAAGATTCACACATGTAATTGATAAAAATATCCTGGAACATTTTCACAGATCAGACCGAGTGTGCCCGGAGACCTTTCTTTGTAAAAGATTATTAGTATAAACACAACCATTCAACAGTCAGAAAGAAATTACTAACTAGTGACTTTCTTTTGCTATAATCTAAATATGCTAGAAAAGTATTTGGGGAAAAACATCTTTACAATGTATTAAGAAGACACTTTTGTGCATTTTATGGACAGTACATTTCTGAAGGGCTGTGAAAGTGGGAACAGCCAAATTAAACCTTCTGAATAAGGAAATGCAAACTAGCAGGCATTTTGAAGTTTAGTTACTGCTGTCTAAGCTCTTTTCTTCTCTATCGCTTTCTCCAAGCGAAAGTTCCTTGATACTGTTAAGAGTTGAATGAAGAATAAATAAGAACACTGCAATCCCTTTTCCCTCTCCATTCGTTGCATCTTCCACAACTTTGCTGGCCCACAATTTTGAATCTCCTCAGATATAAAGGCTATAAGTTGTGAACAAAGAAAACATTTCACTTTTAGATCAGCTGTTTCATTTCTGTCTCAGTCAGAATTATAATAAAAAAAAGAATCAAGATGCAAATTTCAGTCTTGATTCATTTTGGTTTATTTTTGCTGACATACAGTGATGAACAGATCAAAAACACGTAAAATACAGACACTAGTGTAGGCTAGATACTACTACTACCATGTTTTCTCACGTCAGTTTGACAGTCTTTACATAAATTAAGGCAAGTTTCAAAACTGCATGAGGATGTGTAGCAATAAAACCTCAATCTCCTGAAACACCATTACACAATATAAATATTTTACACATAAACTTTGTGACAGAAGTCCTGACAATGCAATTTTACAATGCACAGTTGTTGGGTTTTTTTAAGTCAAAAATTTCTCTTTCACTAGAATTCTGCCTCATTACTAGAATGGCAATTCTTTATTTGGACCCTTAGAGAATAAAATCCATACAGACATGTTTGTTTGACTTTTCTGTTATTACAATCAAATGGGCTGCTCACGATACCAAAAAAATTTACAGCTCAAAATATTATGAGGAAAAAAAGAAAAAACATAAAGCAAATGAAAGATACACTAAACAAGACTGTTTTACAGGCAGCCTAGTGAAATACAGCAGTGTGCAGAAAGCAAAGTCTGTAGAAACTGGGCACATTATGGAAAGAAAGAAATCAGCCACCCATGCAAAATTACCCCTATTGGCCATCTGAGAACTGACAACGAAATCAACTGTAAAGGCAGCTGAGACCAGCAGACTTTGCCCAATTAGACTACTGGGGGGGGCGGGGAAGGGGGGGGAAAATCAATGTGAATGCATGCATGTTTAGATATTTGGCAAAGGCAACTTCTTCAGATTTAGTGATCATTTATAGACATATATATCTCTTATCTGTCCACTTCATTAAATGTATGATAAATTTATTTTCTCTGTTTCTGCACATTTGTTTTGGTACTCACAGACAGATAAACCAGGAAATGCGTCCTTCTAAACTGAGTATCAAGAAATACCTCTATAGAGAAAATGAGGAAATGCATTTTTTCCTCAAATCAATTCTTACAAATGAATGTTTATTTATGAAAGTATCTTCCGTTCCTGTGACCCCTGTAAAATATGCAAACACTCATCTTCAACAGAGGAAAATACTATTTGGTCTATATACTCTTCGCTTTCATTGAATGTAAGGGTTGAAGGTGAACTCGAACAAAACTGATTATTATTAAATTAATGGGACAGTAGACTTTTATGATGGCAATACTTTTCAGAGCAGTGGAAATTTTTTCTACTGTTTTCTTCATATTTCTTTATGAAGGAGGGGGTTCAAGAAGGTTGGGAAATCACACTCTCATGATGCTCAGAATGGAGACAGCTTATCTATGCTAAAAGAGCCAAACTTAAGGGGGATCAGGGCATAACAAAGATCAATCTTTCTTTCTCCCTGATTCAGTCCAAACAGTTTGGTGACTTGTGACTGAGCTTCACTGCTATTCAACCAGAAAAACCACTGGAAAACACTGACAAAAGGCAACTGTGTGGCTCGTTTGCATATTTATAGGAGGAGTACAAAACATTCAGGCTTTAATTCTGTTTAGTTTACTTGAATAAATGAGTTGTCCTGAATGTAGGAATAGGGAAAAAGAGTAAATATCTGAGTAAGTTTCAAAAACTTTTGTTAGTTGCTTGTTAAAACTACAGTTTCCTCTCATCTTAAAAGGTACAGCTGTTCTACAAGACAACACAAATGTTTTGCGTGCTCCTGGAAGTGAAATGGAGTCGGGCAGGGTTGAGGCTGGCTGTTCCTTCTATTTCTTTTGAAATGTGCTTTAGTAATCAAGGATTCCCAAAGGATATAGTATTTGTCAGGGTTACTGGTAGTATACTGAACACACTGGAAAGCAAGGTAACTATACTGAGGCTTTTTATCTACTGATGTCTCAGCATTTACTGTAAATATTGAAGTTGGAAACAAATTTGATGCAATTTTGCAGGCTCCTTCATCTACAGCAGCCATTTTCAAATTACAGCTATGCTGTTTGCATTCAAAATTCTGCAAACAGATGCAGCATTTGGGTCTCCTCCTGAGAGAAAGTAGGCTGCAAGATCTCATTTAGAAACATATTATACTGAAAGTGAGGCTCATAAGACCGTGGCTTTGACTATTCTTAAAAAAAAAGAAAAAAAAAAATCCCCTTCAAAGAAGAAAGCGGAGGCACTGGAGAACAGCCAAAAAAAGTCGTATTCAAGTATTGACTATATTAAAAAAAAAAAAAAGCTGAATCTCTGATAAAAGAAAAAAATTCTCTTTTTTTGTTTCTGTTTTTTTTAACATGAAGATCACTTTGTACTAACCAAAGCTCCCCTATTTAACACAGTATAGGAACATATTCCTACTTAACAAATCTTTCAGAATACTTTACAAATTTAGGCATGCAACTGAAAAAGCAAAACAAGAATTTATTCCTTAAATATCTGTAGCAACACCTTTTACTTCTGCTTCTTTATTGTACTACTATCTATTGTAGCATTTAGAAGTAAAGAAGTTTCCCATCAAATTTTGACCAGTGCATAGCATATTGTCTCTTACATATTCATAAATCCTAATCAAAAATTGAAAACTGCGTTACAAATAAAAATGGAAACTGCAGTAAAAAGCACTGAATCAATTACCTTTTAAATCTCATATTCAGAAGGACATAATAATGAACTGTTTCTGTCGTATCCAGAAGGACATAATAGTAAACTCTTTTCTCATTTTTATTTAATATTGCAGATCTTTCACTCTGCTCTAATAATGTTTACTTTATAAGCAACATTTGTTAAGAAATCTGTAACTTCAAAACATGTTTACAAAAAGTTGCTTTTTCATACAGTATTTTAAATCCTCTAAACAATTAGGCCTTTCAGATCAACTATGTATCAATTTAAATAGGACTTTGACACTTCAGTGTCCTTGTGGAGCTGTCACTATGTTATTCAGGAGCACAAGTCCTAACAGAAGCTATGAGTCATTCAGGCTGTGATTCCACGGTGTATTTCTCTTGTTGGCAAAGCTGACTTAAGCAGTTCCTGCTACCTACCTCTGTGTCTTACTGGCTCATTTGTTCTCTTCACCTTGCCCCTAGCTCTTCATTTTAATCCTTTGTTTGTGCCAGTACAAAGGCTTACGAGACTCTCAGGTGAACCAGATCAAAGAACTGTTCTAATATTATCAATAACTATACAAACTCTCACTTCATATTTTTGCAGTTTTTTCTAACTCAGAGGAGGTCCCTGGTCAGAATAAGCCAAGCAGCCTAGCAAACAGGGCACTACTAGGTTGGCTACAAGCAGGCTGAGGTGAAGAACAGGAGAGGGTGGGGAACCATTTAAGTCAGCTTTGCTTCCAAGAGAAACGTTTATAGAACCATGGTCTTAGATATTTATCTTGGGTACAGGCATCCATCCTCACAATTCAGTGGTATCCAAACCCACTTACTATCCACTGGCTCTTCACTTACGAAACTAATGTCATAGCCTCGCTCCACTTCATAATCAATTTCCAAACTACAAAATCCAATGCCTTAACTGGCAATCTTGTTGGCAAGACCCAGGGGACTAGAGAATGAAACTCTTAGCTGTTGCAAGTGTCCCATTAATGGTACATTTGATGGATGGGCAGTATGATGCAGCAGTAGATACCCAAGAGTAACACAGCTCAGATGAAATAAATCACTTTCCAGAGATGTCCCTCTCTCACTACAGACACCTCCTACACAACTCTGACTAGATGACTACCTTTTTAAGATAGCCAAAGTTAGACCAGATGAATCCCAGCTGTCCATGCCTCCATCACCAATTTGTCACCAAAGACCTGTGAATGCCAAGGAGCTTTCCTCTAGCTCCTTGGCAGCAACTCAAAATTCTAAGTTTCTTCTTAAGGATTTTCTCTAAAGTTTCACAGGACAAGAGTCCTAGAAAACTCAGTTCCCACTTACACAGCATAATGAAGTGAACATATGTATAAAGATATTTATCTCTGACTTTTCACTGACCACCAACCTAGCCTCCAGAAAGATTTCTAAATTGAAAATTTTCTTGAAAATCTGGCCTTTATAATTTTCTTATTCTCTCGCTGTTAACTACTACTTTACTTTTGCTCTTTTTTCATACAACAGCTACACTGTAAAATCAAGGACAGTAATATTTCTTTCTAAACTACGGCACAGCTTGGTGCTACAGCAATAACAAGGAATATGAGAGTGAGACTGTCAAAATGAGTTGTATTTCTCAGATGCAAAATCAAAAATCTCTGCATAAATGCAGAAATGCATCCTAATACCAAGTATTATTACAGGCATTTTAAAGAAGCTGCTTACAATTAGAGGAAGAATTTCTAGACTGTATAGCATCATAAAGATCTTCATGCTAGCAAGCAGCACGGAAAACATTGCTTTGCTGATTGTATACTACAAAGACATTCATAATACTACCAGGCTATCAAAATGCCCTGCACTCTAAAAAAATTAAAATGTTTACTTATACTAACCTAATCGCTCCATAAATGATCTTGGTACAAAATACCTTGTAACTAATGCACTACCAAGTTAGAAAGCATCACATAATTATTTGTTGCACATAGTAAAGGGCGTTTAGGGGGGAAAATTAGAATGCATTTAAGCTCTACTACTTTTTTGGAATAACCAGGGGAAAAGAACAGAAGGAGAAAAGGTTACCCAGAGCACTGCGATAACTTACTGGTCCTTTAGCCAGTCGCTAACAAAAGGAATGGAAAAGAATTCTGTGAATGGTTCATCTTTCCTCTTTGGGTTCTGGCTGATAATAACAAAAAAAAAAAAATCATATTAATTAAAATTGTTGCTATTCTATTTGTAAAGTAATGCCTTTGAATCATTAAGGCATAATTAATTGTAATAGCAATGATTAACTTACTTGTATAACCATTCAGTTAGGAAATCACAGGCAATAAATTTGGTCCTTTTTCTCTATAGATAGAAAATAGTTTCAAATTATTTATTATCTCTGGACTGGTCCCATGTCTTCACTAGCGGAGAGGAACAGAAGCTAAATTGTCTGCTTTTATTAAATGAAATATACAGTACATTACTCTGTGTACTTTAATATTGCTACGGCCAACAGTCAGTGGCTCAGCCAAATTTTAGAAATTTCACTTGTGGAAATGCTTTCAAGCCAAATCTAAAAATGAGAGAGAAAATTTTACACATTTTGATATTTAAATACCAAACATATATTCACATAATATATATTAATATACATATCAAATATATTAATAGCTATCTATATTTAATATTGATATTTAAATTGATATTTGCTGCAGTACACACACCTATAACAAATATCTCCGAAGGGTATCCTTTCTAAGTGGCAATCTCATTTAAAAATTAACTTAATCTCAAAAAAATTAACAGAATCGATGGATGAAAATACGTTGTGTACTATTTCCCATTTTGTTCAAAGTTCTATTCTCATACTTAAAATACTTTGTTGTTTTCAAGGCAGAGAAGAAAAACGGATGGAATATTGTGTTTCTTTTGCCTAGAATCAGCTTGGAGGTGGGTGCTGTGCACACTCAGGCACTCACACAAGAGTACTGCATGGCTGCTCAGTCAAAATTATTATCTGTTGGGTAGTCCAGAGCAGAAGGCAGAAACAAAGCGTACGTATACCCACAACCACAGACAGCATGGACAGTGCAAAGAATCAGGTAAAAAGATCCAGAGTCTGGAGCAAAAAAGTTGCGTCCTTTGCTCCTAGTTCTAAGACTTCCCCACCGCCAAAGACAACCTTGCAAAATGCTTTGCAGGGGCTTAGCCTTAGTGACTCGTGCAGACAGGACCTGTTTGGCTGCACTCTGCTAGTTGCACTCTGTAAAATAAGTTTTGAGGTCAAAATTCAAAGTATGAATTTTGATCAGTACAAAACTGAGGGGGGTCTTCCTTTTCCTAGAGTTTTTCTCTCTGTGCTCCATCCTTACAGATTGGCTGTACAAATGAGTATAGATGCTTAGTCTGCTTATTCACAAACCAGAGTAACCATGACTAAACCTAGACTACTGGTTGGAACGACAGAAGAGCTTGGCTAGTATCTTTTGGGCACCCTCTCACGCTAGATGTGTGGCAGGTATACAGAGTCAGAGAATGAGCACTAAGAGATATTAAGCCACTGCAGAACGGAGAAACCGAACACTTTATCAAAACAGCACCTATTTAACTAAGGGAAAACCTAGTCTCCATCCAGAAAGTAACGCTTACCATATCAAATTGAAGATTAACTGCAATCACTACTTTTTAGAAAAACACTTCACAAAGAACTTATCTCTGTGAAACTGCTAATTGTCATGAAAGAGGCTGGACTCTGGATTAAAATGTAAGGAACTAAGGCACTACTAGTACTTGCTAGGAGAAGTTTATGCATGAAAGATTTAATGTATGAAGGATGACTGTGTTCTATGTATTATCTTCTAATTTTCTAAGTGAATCTTACCTTTTGTAGACATACAATCTGACTCCCACAGACGAAAAGAGAGAATTGCTTTAAGAAACATTAGAATAGAATATCGCAAAAAAAGTATCAGTCCTGAACCTTGTGTGTGTTGATAATCTGCTTCCTCACAAAAGCCTCTGGATTCATGTAGAGCTCTATTAGAGCGCTTGGAGGTGCAGAAACACGTATGTCTCCCTACCAAATCTTCCCTGCGCCTCTCATGATAATACCAGATACTGGTCGTAGAAAAGCTAAACACCTAAGCTTTAAGAGACCAACATGTTTGCTAGAGAGTTTTCTACAACTTATTTTAGGTGTCAAATGGCCACATTCTGACTTGAACTGAATCTGAAATTAAACAGCAGAATCTGATCCTCCTCATTTATACTATGGCTATTCTATATCACAGTATTAAACTGGGCCCCATCAGGCAGTGAATTGTTTCACAGAATAAATTCTATGCTTTCACAATAAAATTCAATTTAACCTAGCAGTTGTAACATTCTCTTTTAAGTAAATTGCTCTCCCCTTTGCAAGGGGTGGGGGGAAAAACAGATCAAAACAGTGCTGTCAAAACAGTTATTACTGAAGGAATCAAACTGGACTTGGTTTATCCCTGTTCAACCCAGTGAACTTATCAGGAAGGAATTCAGTCCATCTGAATTTCTATTTTATTTTATTATTTTTTCCAGGCAACTGTTCTCTTTGTTACTCAATTAAATCTTTAGTTGTACAGCAGCTGACCTTTATAGAAGGGAAAAAATGACATAAATTGACCTGCCTTTGGCACATTCTTCCTATGCTACACAGATAAGGACAAACACAGGAAATATCTGCACAATGTGCATTGTTAACCTGCAGATGTGTTTATAAACTATTTATACTCAAAATTCATTTCCCATTTTTCATCCTCTATATGATATGTTTGGTAATAAAAATGCAAAAATACTAGTGATCAGAAGATTGCAGAAGTCATTAGGGAAAATTATTTCATTTGCTTTCCATTATCTAATATACTTTTCAATATATTTCATTAGAGAGTCTGCTGCAGCAACCTCTTTCTGTGATCATCAACAAGAAAGAAAAACCAGAGTTATGGTAATAAACAAGTTTAAACACTGTTCAGTTTTAATTTTGAAAAATGAATGCATTAGCCAAATCTCATGAGAGAAAAGACTTAAGAAAAGAGTCTTTTCCCTGAAGACATTTCACAGCAGATAAGATAGCACAGGAGAACTTATGGAAGGGGGGGAAAAAAAAAAAACCCTACTTCAGCAAGGGAATACACTGGGTGACCTAATAGGTTTCTTTCATCTCTAATTTAAAAAAGAAGCTTCTGCAGATTGTTCTCATATTTATGGCAGTCTGAAGTCTGCAAATATATCCAGCAGCTAGTTGTTTTTAAGGATTTTGCATTTCAGATTCTTCAAATACACTATGTAATGCAAAAGAGAATATTTTAAATTAACTGTTTACCTTCCTATAGTTCTTTATCACTTTTCAGGTAAGATCCTGCAGATTTCCTTCCTACACAAATGACTACACTCAGCATAACCTTTTCCCTATCCTGACTTGCCCTTCTTGTTCTACAGCTCTTCCTCACCAGACATGAAAGCACCTTGGTTGCTCTCTTCCTTGAATTCCTCTGTGGATCCTATCACCTGATGTCCTCTACCCCAAATTCAATTTCTAATCAACTCTTTTACTTAATTTTTCATTCTCTTCTCATTCTTCATTATTCCCCTTCAAAACACAAAAATCAGCCCTTCTCCTCTTATCAAAAACCCACCCCTCATTCCCCCTTGCTGTTCTCTCTTGCTTCTCCCAGCCTCAGGGAACACTGATTTCAATCACTTCTGCTGTTTTTCCCTTTCTTCCAGCACCTCTTCAACCTGTCTTCCACTGGTTTACTCTATTGGAGCTGTCCTTGACAGGCTTTAACAACTAGAGTCTAGTCAAAATTCAAACCCACTATTCTGTTCTCATCCTTCATGATTTCAGTGACCTTAATCACAACTCATCATGTTCCTTTCTTGTTCTCTCATGAATTCCACGAATCTTTCTTCTCTCAGTTCTCCTCCTGTTTTTTGAAGCTATCTTCCAATGTGTTCATCAGATTCTTTCTCCCCATCCCTAACTTTCTCTGGGGTTTCCAAGGGCTCTGTGTTTGATGATAAAAATCAGTTCCGGTCACTACTCTAAGCATTTTAATGCGAATTAGGCCATGATCTTTTCTTCTAACACATACAGAACAATACATTTCTTATGAATCAAAAGTATAATTAGAGTTTACATATTTCAGTCAAATAAGGAAACAGAACATCCAAGTATTAAGCACCTGGACAACAATGGAAAATAACACAAATATTCACTTGTATGTCAGGCATGAAGAGCTATTGTTTTACTAGTTATGATCCAAAGAGAGGAAGAAATGATGTCATAGTGGAAAACTACAATCTGACATAAGATGGCTTTCCTAAACTTAATTCCCTAGTAGCCTGACATTTCTCCCTTTAACAGTGAAAAATCACGTAGTGTCTTTTTTGATATGATAGTCTCATTCTTGTGAAGTTTCCAAATATTGGAAAAGAACTGTTTAAACTTCACATTTGATTTTTATTTATTTATTATAAAACAACACATACAGATCCATATATAAAATCTATTTTCAGAACAAATACTTTCCAAACTATATACCACAAGTCACTAAATCTTTAAAAAAAACTTAGACTAAAAATAGACAAAGTAAGCTCAATTTGTGCTGAATTTGAAACTGAAATATTTCTAAGAAATCTTATATTTTTGTATTAAGTACAGCTTTATTGCCTCTTATTCTTCAGGAGTATGTAAGACCTATTAAGGACTGTAGTTTAAGACAACTTGAGGACATGCCTTTTTCTAGTAAAGGAAATGTGCTTCCTTAAATAAAAAAAAACAGAATCGATATAAATTTCATTAAAAGTGTGATGAATAATATATACGTTCAATCCACTCTTGGATAGATAATGTAAATGGGATGGCAGGAGTGATGCACAGGAGTGTCATGCCATAATGACATGTAGATTAACCACTTTCCTATTTCACAGTATTAATCATAGATTATAAATAAATAAATAAATAAATAAATAAATAAATAAATAAATAAATAAATATATAAATCTATAATCCAATCAGCTTTTAGACACATCCATGTTTCCTAAGTTTTTACAAGGTTTGTAAATAACCTACTATTATTAAAAGTACAGATCTGAATTTGAAAGCCAAGTTTGGGATGGAAAGTTTTACGTATTTTTGGCTGCGCCCAGGCACGCCCAGGTCAGTGGCAAACAGTACACACGTAATTTTTATGAATTGTTTCACAGTGTCTACACTCAGATAGTATACAAAAGGAGGTTATTGTCAGTAGGTGGAGCAGAGGTAGATCGAGGCATAATGTAAAAAATAATCCGCTAGTAACACAAAGTCTTCCTCACCTAACAGTCATTCTAATCAATAACCCCAAGAGCCCAGACTGCATTCCTCAGATATACATCACATGTACCAAATGGGAGACATTTTCATTGCTATTTATATTAATTGCTATTTATACTATGTAGCTGCAAGTAAGATGAGGCCCAGATGCAGGCATTAAGCTATAGGGAAGTTTTACACTGAAAAGTATTGAAGAAAGACAGAAGGTAAGAAAGAAATGGAAGAAAAATTTCTTACATGGTTGGAGAAAAATGGCGGAAATGATGAAAGATCCCACAGCTCCCAGTTCCTAGCCTATTGCTCAGAGCCTATTGCTGCATGTTAGACTGTGGTGATATAACGAGCTTTATTTTGCACCAGTTCTAATGTATTTTTAAGCATTCCAACATAAGGAGTCTCTCTCTCTCTCTCTATGTTTACACACACAGAGACAAATATACATACATATGCAGCAAATAAAGATAAAAAAGTACTGTCTTTATAAGCTCATTAATGCTAAATACCTTCCACTTAAATGGAATTTTACACAGTATTTTAAAAAGCTAAAATACAAAAAACATATTTTAGGATGCCAGCCCAGGTAAAATAATTGAGTTATGTAAATTGTAGTAAGTAAAATTCAAGTTCTCTACTTCACTCTATAAATGAGTGATGTGCATTAATCTGAAAGGGATACTGTTTCTCTGAAAGACAACACTATTTAGGCTAGATACAACTGGATTTTTAAGGAAGATCTGGTGTGATTTAGAGATTGTCATACTGATCAAGTATGTGTACTACGCAATCTGTTCAAAATTACTGAAAAAAAAACAACATTCAAGACTGTCTTGTTATAAAACAACACATGATATGTTATTATTGTGGTTGGCTTTCTTGTAAAAGACCAAATAATGAAATACAGCCTGTGAAGTAAAAGACACTAACTTCTTGCCCATGATTTGAATTGAAAACTAAGAACTAACCTCAAAACACTTCTCCTTCTTTGCTTGATGTAGAAGTTCAGCCATTCCAGGTAAAAGTACTGGAAATATGTAATACTCTAAGTATTCTCGAGGAGAACCTGGGTAAAACAGTACAGTCTTCACTTACAGATATGCACTTAGATTTTACAAAAAGACAAACATCAAATAACATAAGCCAAGTATCAGTTATCAGGAACATCTCAGCTTGAACCAGGCACAGATTTTTTTAATTTAGATACAGCCACAGAGCTCTCTTCATTTTTCTTGAGCCAAGAAAACATAATTTTAAGTTGAGTAAATTTCAAACTAAAGGTGCATCAACACTGCAAACTGCAGTGTGTCTCAAGAGATGTCAGGCTTAGTTTTAAATGAGCTAACTCAGGCACCAGAAGCAGTTTAGCCACAGAAGTGAGAAGCAATGTGGACGAATTTACCCTGACAGGAAGAGAAGTAAATTAGCCTGCACTGAGTTCTTGTGCTGTTACAGTTAAACTACTTTTGGTGTTCATATCCATGCCTTTTACATACTGCAGTAATACAGTTGGTCATAAAACTGAATTTCTAGATGGAGAAAAACAAAGACTATCAGTATAATTCAGTATAATCAGTATTTCAGTGATGCCCTCATTTCCTTCTCATGATTACTTTCTACTTGCCAGTTCCTCAGGAAATTTTAATACCACCAATTTTCCCACCTTGGCAGGGATGTTTGAGTTGGCACCTCTCTCTTTTATGTTTGACTACACTGCCCCTACACTCAAGTCTACTTGCCTTACTTAAGAGTATGCTAACACACACCGACAGCACTGAGTTTCACGCAAAAGGAAACAACTGCAGTCACCTTCACCAAAAAACAGCGGTGATACTGCTCATGTTCTATACATAGCCTAATGGTTAAACATGCACCCAACTGAGCAACCCATCAATTTCCTTCCCGGCTTTTCCTCGCATCTCCATCGTCCCTAACAAGACCTCTCATTACAAACTCATAAACTAGGTTAAGAGGAGGAGCTTTCTATTCCTTCTGTTGAAGACATCATACATGGAGAAACTCAGGTTCACTGAGTCAGAGAGACAGCATCAGAGGCAGCATGACAACAAATAGGCCACAGAAGTACCTCCCTCAGAAGGGTGAAGACAATAGAGCTCGTTAGCTTGGGAGGAGTAGTGAACAAACACAGACGCACTGAGTTGGTACCTCTGGAAACGTGCCACGCTGCACCATGTTAACGTACCAGGTTAGGTCACTGCTAACTCAGGAGTCTCAACACCATAGTCCACTCTATAGACGTGCTATACCTTTAGAAATCTTAAAAGACTAACAAAAATTCTTAGGATGTTAGACCAGAAGGGGTGGCCTATTAGCTGAAGTGCTGTTCTCAGTTTAAAGTCAGACTGCCGGCCCCTGCAGTAAGCATTCTGGTCTTAGTGTGGTCAGTAAAAATTAAGTTACACAAGGTTTCTCTTCTGGCAGAACACAACTGAAACACTGAATTTATTCTCTGCTTCATACCTTTAATTGGTTCATACACTGCCAGGTAATGTTCACAACTGGAAGAACACTACATATATATATATAAAAGCTGAGGACAACACTCCTTCTAACTAACCATAGGAATTCCTAATATAAAAGAATGAACGGCAGAGAAGAAGATAAAGGCAGAATGAGAAGTGATGGAAAAAGGTGAGGAATAAAAGAAGGGCTAAAAGAAAAATACATTGCTACTTAGTGATTTTTTTGAAGTACAGAGACTGATAAGAATGGAAGAAAAGAACTTTAGAGGCTGTTTCCGTTCCAATTTGTGATCAGATAGACAAAGATAATATTTTGAAAGTAGTTTTCAGACTCAATTATATATTTAGCCTATTGATCCTACTTTGGCATTATTAAATCAGAGGAAAAAATGCTTGTCCTTCTCTGATCTAAGTAGCTAAATAAAAAGTCACTTATAAGAGAGCGGAATTATCTTGAGATGGTACACACATTACAAATCAGTAGCAGTGTCTAGCAGTAATTTGAGCTTTTTTCCACTGGCAAAGGGGCCAAACTGGCCCCCTGTTTAAAGAACTAGGAGACTAATCATGCAAATTCCGCTTAGGAAAAGGTGTTGTAGCTGTTAACACTTTAAATTCAACAAATGACAAATCCGTGTCAAATGCAAGAAAAATAATCACAGCAGGGTTCAATATACACTTACTTACATGTTTTTGGATCAGATGGTTCTGAAGAAGTTGTTGCCTCGCATATGGAAAACGAGCGCTGGCCAACAGTGTTAGCTGCAGAGGCTGTGTAGAATTGTTCCGTACATAATGGCTGCAATAGTCCCGCATCCAAAGACACCTGTCCAAGATAGATGTAACTCACATACATTTCCAAGCCAAACTATACAAAATATAGAAGCCAAACCAACAGGAAAAATTATAAGGTGAGGTTAAAAAAAAAAAAAAAAGATTTATAATTTCTAATTACAGTATTAAATGATTTCAGCATTTTCTAAGTGCTCTAAAATAAAGAAAGAATTTCACTTCATGAGCATGGTTCTCTGCTACTGAAAAACGGTAGTGGGATCAGGCCACAAAACTTACAGTATACTGCATGACAATGACTGCAGACAGGCCCCTTTTTAACATATGCAAGATTCATAAACAAATCATTTTGGAAATTAGAAAAAAAAAAGTATTAACATGAAAAGGTATATTATTCCTTTATGACGTGAGAAGCTCTCAAACAGATCAATATATTATGCCGAGGTCAACGCCACAAGAAACATTTACTGTCCTAATTTAACAACGGCCCGTAATGATGCTAGTTTCACTTAGGGAAACAGGATACATTATAAATGTCTAACCAGACCAACTGTCAAACAGTTTAACCTGTAAAATCTTGAATTTTAAAGTAATAAAGTAACCTGAATAAGAGAAATAAGAGAAAATGTCTACAAAATGCCTAGTTTAAATGAAAATCAACTTTGTATCTGATGCCCAAAAGAATTAATTTCTCTGCTCATAGAATTGCTAGGGACAAAACCTTAAACTGGTTTGTTTTTCTTAAAAGCTTTTATGCATTGCTTCTGTTTACCAAACAAGTTTTCCTAGAACTAATTTATTTGGACAACAGTAGACTTTAAAAAAAAAAAAAAAAGGTGAACAGGTGTAACTCTGCTGATTTCAACAGTCACATCTAAGTGATCTGCTACGTGCAATTGAGGCATTACTCCTTTGCTACGCTTGCACCCCTTTCTTGCACATTTCAGTACTCAGTCTGCTTGCAACACCACAATAAAAAGATCCTTGCATACTTCAGAGTCACAGCAGACAGTTACAGCAGAAAGACAGTGAGATGCACAAACCAAACACAGCTGGTCCTCAAATTTTAGGATAGTATTGCCCAAGTTGCCTTAAATAAAAACAATGATTTGTGGAATATTGCATCTGTTGATTCACGGAAGTTGTTTGCCACATGTAGTTTTGCTTTCATTTAATTTTATGAATGAGTCTATTCCATTGGTACCTAATCTACCCGCTTGGATACTGAAAAAACTTTTAAAAGGAGCCTGTGAAGATTCTTTTGCTTAACTATACTCACAGATTCTTGCTTTGATTCATAAACACCTGGAAAGGTAGGCTGTTCTGCTTCATACTCTGAAAGTAAAAAGCAGCACAGCATTTATCTAAAAGACTTAAAAACAAATATTTATTTTTTCTTCTACACAAACATTACTTTCTAAAGCGACTTATTCTAGTTTGAAACAACAAAAAAAGCACTGCATGATAAATATCCATTCAACATGGGATCTAATATGTCAGAGCAAGTGTAAACTTCAAAGCCTCTTGTCTTCGCTTTAAGTCAAGTTCGAGGTTCTCAATAATGAAGGAACTTTTTAGTGGGGAAAAGATTTTTATCCAAAATCATATTCAAAAATATTTTAACCTAAGTAAAATGCAGAGGCTTGCAGGGAATTAGTCATTCTTTTTACTAGTATACAATGGTGCTTTTCAACTTGGATTCCACTATAAGCAAATAAATACCTAGGGCATTGCTAAGTATTACTGTCTACACTGTCAAAGAGGAAAAAATGAAAACACAGCAGCAGTACCTGACCCACATAAATTACTGAGTGAATCAGGGTAAGAAAAAAAAAAAACCAAAGGACAAAGAAAACATGACGCTATCGTGAATTAAATCAGACCAAAAACTTAGGAGAATGGGGTCACGTTACATGCAAAACAGCATTCTACATGAAGTGCTCGAGCAAATTTCAGGATTTCTTCAGATAACACCATTCATCTCCCCTATTCTAAGTTTAACGTGTTCTTACAGAAGGGGGGACAACGGATCTGATTTAAGAAACTTACAGATTACACAATACAGGAGAAGATTCCTGTAGACAAAACAAGCGGGCTTATCGTTCTGCCAATATAACGACCAGATTCAGCGGCAGCACTACTTCCCTATGCAGTGCAGATGCCGCTGCCGAGTCACATCAGAACAAGCAACTGTGCTCCTACATTAACAACGATGTGAGGTACCTGCCTGACTGGAGGACATCGTAAACTACTAAATCCAGAAAACGTCACTGAGGCGCCACAGGCCTATCGATGCTGGGTTCCCCGTTTCCTGAACATTCGCCGTG